AAACACCCCCGATACTTACTATTGTTGTCCCTATTTCTTCTTCATTAGACTGCCAAGACTCACCCACCGGAGGTGGGTGATCCTCCGATCGCAGGAAAACGCGAAGATGAGAGAGAGGAGGTTGTTGCCTCCATCCCAACCTCCAACAGATCCCTTCCCGTCAAAGCTCAACCCTCGAACACCCCATGTCGTTGCTCTCATTTTCTTCTCCTTCAATCTGATGAAGACGAGGTCCCACGCCCCCTCCCGACTTCTGATTTTGTCCAGTTCTTTCTCAAACAGGTGAGGGCCAAATTCCTCCCTTCCCCTTTCGCGTTAGCCGGAAACGAACAGACAAGAGAAGGGCCGTCGGAAAATCCAACAACCCTTCTTCTTCTTCATCGATTCCAGTCGTCGGACCACCTCTTTTGACCACTCCGTTCGATTTCCATTTCAATCAGAGGAAGACGATGACCAGGGCGAAGATGAAGGCTCGTCGAGGATCAGCTATTCCCTCCTCGCGATCTGTTAAACCCCACCGGACCACCTCATTTGCTGATTTCGTTCGTACTTCTCCCTTCCGATCAGACGGAGATTGAACCCACGAGGGTCGCCGGAGGTCAATGTCTGCCCTTTCTCATGATCTCTCAGCCTCACCGGAGATTCCTAATTTTTCCTTCTGTTCGTTTGTTTCTTCATCCACCTAATGAAGATGACGATTCTTTTCCCCGTTGTTTGTACCAATTAACTCAAACCCACCTCCTTATTGTAGCACTTAACCATCGACAACTAGGTTAGAAGTAACCACGAAGTTTCTTCCTTCCTTTCCTATACATCGATTTAAGAACCCAAAATTCAGAACATGTTTAGTATTTTAGGGATTGTAGTGGTGTTCATACGAGAGAGAGAGAGAGAGGTGGGACCCCCTTTGTATATTATTTCATTTTTTATAAAATAAGAGAAAAGATCATAAATGGTCCATGTGGTAGTGAAATGACGAAAATACCCTTCAGTTAACAGACAAAACTTAACGGTGTTAGCAATAAGGACCAATCGTCAAAAGTTTTGAAAGCATAGGGACCATCTATGACGTTTTTAAACCACGGGGACTAAACTTCAGATATTAGGAAACCACAGGGACCATTTATGATGTGTTTTCTAAATGATATGTTAAATGGGGAAAGAAATATCATTTTAACTTTCAAATCAAGAATTATTTATGTCTAGAATTATAATTTTTAAAAAACTTACAAACACATTTAAATTAATCACGTTCATCCATATCAAAACTCATACATTTCATAATATCAAATAAACCTAATCATCAAAACTAAAGAATTAAGTAAACCTAATCTCCAACTCAAAACTCATAGATTTCATAATATTTTGAGATGACAAAGAATCAAATAAACTTAATCTTCAAACCTACTCTCCTAATCTTAAAATAGTTGGGAGAAAGTTGTCTTTTAGAAACAACGACGATGATTGTGGAGGAGCGGTGATGATGTGAGAGTAAGATAAACCTCGGTCTCAATCACTCTCTTTTCTCTCTTTTTCTATTTGGTATTTATTTTCTTTCCCGTTTTCTGTACAACCCTAACACACACACGCACACACACACAATATCGTAGTGGTGACGACGAAGATGGTGGAGTTTAAGGGCGACAACGATGATGGTGGACGACGGCGACATCGATGGTGGAGAGTGTTGATGAATAATTTTGTTTGGAGAAAGAAGAGTAATGAATGTAATTTTCTCAGTAGGTGAATGATTTAGATTCACTTTTTCAGTCGAATAGTTCATATGCATCGGACTGATTCAAAAGTTAAAATTAGATGAATCAAATACTTTTAATGGTTGAACTCAGTGGCGAAGCTATGTGGTTCCCGGGGTGTCCCGGGCCACTACTCCGCTTCAGCCTCACAATGTAATTTTTTTTTCTATTAAGGTGCCACGACTATACATATAAATGTAACTACTATTTTATCGATGCCACTACTACTGGAAGATCCTGTATCCGCCGCCACTGGCTAAACTATTAAGAGACTATAAACATGCTCTAATCCATCCACACCCAAACATAATTTTTTGGGGACTAAAACATAATCTTCGAAACCTGTGGGTTAATGGAATTATCATATTTGAAATTTTGATTTATTTCCAACAATTATATAACTTATTAGTAGAAAAAAAAATGGTAAAGGAGGAGACCAATACAAATTACACAAAAAAAAGGCATTGAACTAATTATAATCTGTAAACACTCAAATAATGAAATTACCTCTCGTCCGATAACCAAGATCTTATTAAATTATTTTATAAATTTGTAGTCAATAAAAATATGCTTACAAAAAAATAATTCATTACCCTAATTGATACTAAAATATAAGATTTTATTGTAACTGTAACATAAATTTAATAATGTTACTTTTAAATTATTTTTCAAAATAAAAAATCCACTAAAAGCTATTGAGTAAAGTTAATTTGAATAAAATACTAAAATAAGGTAAGCGTGAGGAAACCCTTTTTACCCATGGAGGGATTATTAAATGGTTGTGGTCTCCCCCAACCTCCTTTTTGCCCTTTTCAACTCTTTTTGGGAGGGTCAAAGCGATGTTCCCACCAATCCCTCCTTGATTTTGAGTCTGCGTTCTTCATTCCCCATTTCCACAAAATCAATCCCTAAAAGCCCAATGAATCAAAAAGCAGTTTGATCAAATTCACAACATATAAAAGCTTTCCTTCTGTTTTTTTTTTTGTTCAGTTTACAAGAATCAACTGTCATCAATGGTGTTCAAGTGCTCTCTGTTTCTTCTGATCTTCTGCTTTCTGGGTTCTACTTTCGGAGTTCATCATGCTCGCACCCATCTTCAGAATCTAAATCCAAATGCTTCTTCACTTCTCACCGGAATCGAAATACCTAATCATTCAAGCTTTAATGGAATCTCGGATTCTTCTTCTTCTTCTTCAGATTGCGGCTTCTCCTCGACGGAGAAAACAGAAACATCAGACGGAAGAGAAACAGGTAGGAATGAATTTGAATCGGTCAAACTCCACCTGAAACACCGATCACCGGGTCAAACACCCATGCCCGCTAAAGAGTCATTATTCCATTCGGCCGCAAGTGATGTCACCAGGATCCAAACGCTTCACAAAAGGATCCTAGAGAAGAAGATTCGCAACACCGTTATGAATCCGAAGAAGCACGATGAAAGTTCTGCCGTAAAGCTCAAGCCTGCAGTAGAAGAAGCGCCGGCGGTGGTGGAGAGTTACGCCGGAAAACTTATGGGTACTCTGAAATCAGGGGTAACACTCGGTTCCGGAGAGTATTTCATGGATGTTTTTCTGGGTACGCCTCCTAAACACTACTCTCTTATACTCGATACTGGTAGCGATTTGAATTGGATCCAATGTACACCCTGCCACGACTGCTTCGAACAAACAGGTCCCCATTACGATCCCCAACAATCATCATCTTACCGGAATATCAGTTGCCATGATCGCCGGTGCAGCCTTGTTTCATCCCCAGAACCTTCCAGACCTTGCAAAGCTGAAGATGAATCTCAATCCTGCCCTTATTTTTACTGGTACGGCGACAGTTCTAACACCACCGGCGATTTCGCCACAGAGACTTTCACAGTGAACTTGACCACCAATGTCGATGGGCATAAACAACAGCACAAGGAGGTCCAGGTAAATAATGTCATGTTCGGCTGCGGCCATTGGAACCGAGGTCTATTTCATGGTGCTGCTGGATTGCTAGGGCTAGGACGAGGCCCACTATCCTTCGCCTCTCAACTCCAATCTTTATACGGCCATTCCTTTTCCTATTGTCTTGTTGATCGGGACAGCAACTCCAGCGTCAGCAGCAAGTTGATTTTCGGAGAAGACAAGGGTCTTTTGAATCACCCGGAATTAAATTTCACTTCATTGATAGGCGGCAAAGAAGCTCCGGTCGATGTTTTCTACTACGTTCACATCAAATCCGTGATCGTCGCCGGAGAAACCCTGGATATACCTGAACACACATGGGATTTAACGGCAGATGGATTTGGGGGAACCATCATCGATTCCGGAACTACTCTTAGTTACTTTGCTGATCCTGCTTACAACATCATCAAGAAAGCATTCATGGAGAAAGTTAAAGGCTACCCTTTGGTTAACGATTTCCCAATCCTTGAACCCTGTTATAACGTTTCTGGGATTGCGGATTATAAAAAAGATTTGCCATCTTTTGGGATCTTGTTCAACGATGGCGCAGTGTGGAATTTCCCTGTTGACAATTATTTCATCAAACTTGAACCGGAAGAGATTGTGTGCTTGGCAGTTTTGGGTACACCACGATCTTCTTTATCGATTATTGGCAATTATCAGCAGCAGAACTTTCATATCATGTATGATACGAAGAAATCTAGGCTCGGATTTGCTCCAACAAGGTGTGCAGATGTTTAATTTAAAAGGTGAAACATTTGTCGGGAAGTTTGTAAACAAAATAGCGATGAAGTTTTTTTTTTTTTTTTTTTTTTTTTTAAATTCTTTTTTTCTTTTTTCCGGCCTAGAAGTCGAGAATGGCCGGGGCATAGATTTTAATTTTAACACTTGATCGACGATAAAATTGTATCATGGACAAATATAATTATAAACTTAATACAGTCGCTATTTTTCATTTAATGGATTCTTTTAGGTTGTTGTATTACATTGTTGTGTTTGGATGTATTGCTAAAGTGATTGCAACTTGAAGTCACGTTAAATAATTATTTGGGTTCCGCCTTTTTAACTTTGATAAGACGATTATTAGATTATCATATTTGATTGTGAACTTTTAAGTTTTTTTTGGAAAGGAACTTCCCTAACGAGGGTTTTCGGGCCAGCTTTCGCGCACCGACTAATCCCCCGCTGCAAACATGAGGCTTTGTCTCATGCCCTGGAGTCACTGCAGGCGAACCTCCATGGCCACAAGGGGGTGCCAGGATTTAAACATGGATCAATAGGTTATCCACCATATCTTCCACATAACTTTTAAGTCGCATTAACCATTTTGCAACGTGCAGCATCCATGAGAAACCTTTTGGAAACTTGGAGGCACTATCAAGTATAGTATCCCTGATACCAACCAAAGAAAATACAAAAATGATATTAACCATTTTGCAACTTGCAGCATCCACCAGGAACCTTTGGGTCTAAATAAGTTTGGACACAAAGTTTTCATTTTTGATGGTGAGTTTAATCCAATTTGCTTTTAATTATTTTATAATGATGATTTTGTCAATTGTATTTTAATTTTTTTATTTCTTTTATTTAATTTGCCATTTTTCTAAATAAATATAAAAAGAATCAATTTCACCCCTACCTATTACTAACCCACTCACCCACTTTCTCACTCTTCTCTCTATTGGACCACCATTATCGTCGGAACCATCGCCATCGTCGAAAAACCATTGTCGCTGGACCATCACCATCGCTGGACCACCGCCCCTTGTCGGTCTACCACCGAAGATGTTCCTACCCAACCGCCACCCACTTCTAGCATTTGTCTGTCGACAGTGGAGAAAACCGGTCAGACCATTAGATTCGATAAAAGCGACAACTCGCCCGGAAATAAGAGAGATAAATTAAGGAAACCCATCAGACCTCCTTCCTTCTCATCAGATCTTTCTCATTCTCAACGAAACTCCACTCCTCGCATCACAGACGTAAAATCTAAATCGATGAAGATAACGACGCAAGGGATTTTAACGACCACTATTGCAGATCCAACTCCGATGAGGGTTATCGTCTTCATCCCCCATCGTCTCCGCCACCACCAACCTCTGATCTAAAAGTCATCATCATCTACAAAAAAAACCCCTAATTTATCTAAAGTCACCGTCACCTGAATAACTAGGGTTTTGTCACTATCAGTACTCTGCAACCCTAGCACCATCAATCTGGGTTACAATATCGTCTTCGTCTCACCCCTTCTCTGACGACGATCTCTGTGTAATCTGAAGCCTTATCGTCGTCGATCTCTAGGTCCTCAATCTCCGAAAGCATCTCCAGAAAGCTATGATAAAACAACACTCTCTGATTCAGGTTTTCAGTGACTAGGGTTTCAAGATCTGGAAGGGCAATCACCGGCAAAGTGGGTGGTGACGGTGGTCGGTCAAATTTCCGACAATGAAGGAAGAGGAAGAGAGGCATACTTGAGAGTGAGGTGAAGTTTAGCTAGGGACCAAACTCGCAACTAAATGAAAACTTTTGACCTCTGGTGCTAGTCCAAACTTGTTGGGACCAAAGTGGTAATTTTCAGCTAACCACATGGACCATTTGTGCAATTTTGCCTATTAACATTGAAATGATCTTTAAATTTAGTCATTGGAGACTTAAAAATAAACTTGATCTTTAAGACCAAGAGCAATTGGAAATAATATTAACAGTTAAATGCTTATTGTCTTGTAAATCATCAACAAAGTCTCATGAGATGCTTGAGAGAAATGGTACGACCATGAGGTGTGGGTATTCCGCGGTAAAGCTGATGTGGACCTTAACATGTTATGGGTACACCCCCCCACTCAACATTTTCTGAAAATCATCCATTCTCTGCATTGTATTGTGGAAGAGAAAGAACAATGTATGTATGTATATTAACTCTCCCTCTCTCTCTCTCTCTGATAAATTTTGGTTATTATTCTTTTTCTCTCTTTTTCATTGAAGTCAACATAAGTATATATACATGGAAGAAAGAATAAAAGATGCCTAATAAATCCCTTGAATCACGCCTACTGATCAGATGAAATTTAGGGATAAGATAGCTATGAACAAAATCAAAAACAGGGGATGCATATCCCTAAGTAAATCGTAACATCCCCCCTCAAGTTGGAGCATGTAGATCTGAATGCCCAACTTGTCAAGAAGAAAATCAAATTGCTTCTTTCCCAACGTCTTGGTAAAAATTGTTGGGTTATGAGCATTCTAACACTCCTAAGTGTACATGCAACCCTAAATACCTTGGATCTAT